CCAGTGAGTTTCCATCTCTATGGCACTGGAAGATTTAAGCATTTGCTTTCTAGAGTACTTAAATCTAACAGTGACCGGTAAAGGTGATGGCAGGATTTTGATTCAGTCGATGAGAAAAGCACAAAGGTGTGTTTAAACAAATTCCTTTGCTTCAGTGCTGTTCTGAATTTACTGGCATACCTCCTCAGTGGTGTTTAACTTACTGAATGCATGCAAGGTGGCCTTTCATGGTCAGTATAGTATAGCTCTGTGATCTGGTCATGTTTTGTTTGCACTAAAAAAGCCATTCTCTGAAGTCAGGCATTTTTCCCAATGTGTTTTGTACAGTTACAGTCCCTGCATTAGGTAGTTGGTTCAGGTGTATAGTTAAAAGCCTGACGTGGAGGAAAGGGGCCATTAGGCCGTGCTGTTCAACTTCTGTAAACTTAGCACTTTGCAGAGTAGGCAGGGTCAGCTTTACGATAGTTTATAACAGGTGATCCCTGCTGATGGTAAATGCTTATCTGTTTAGAAGAAGGTGTTGCAGGGGTGCAGGGAGGGCTGGCCGCCCTCTGAGGCGGGAGCCTCGCCAGCCAGGGCCCTGAAGCACTGCCCTGCATCACACTGAGCTGGGCACGCCAGGTGACGGTAACCGTGTCCAGCCAAGAGTCCAGGTCATCAGGAAGGCTTGTGGTGGTGAGGCAGGTCAGGGGACAAGCTGGGAAGTCAGTCCATGGGTCAGGATGAGGGTCAGGCCTGGTGAGGGTAACCAGGTGAGAGACAGCCCAGTGATTGCTCAGAAGCACCATGGCAGGACTGAGCTCGGGAGGTCAGCCTGTGGGCTGAGGTTTGGATCGGGGGGTATGGCCTGGTCGGGGGGCAGTTGTGCTGAGCGAGACCGGCACTCCTACGGCACAGCTCTGGCAGGGACTGAAGGTCCTGGAGCGAGCTGAACAGGGGTCCATGGCCCATGGGTGGGGGGAGGATGGAGCCCCCAGCTGAGGCTGGGCAGGGCCTTTGAGGCCTAGTGGTGCTCTCAGGGCCCTGACAGGTATAAGCCTTTAAAACCTGCCTGAAAGTAGCATTATCTTGGCAGAACTGATAAACTGAAGAGTAATGTGGCAGTCGGTATCAACCCCTGATCTTTTTCACTTTCTAGTCTGTGAGGTATTTTCCTTCCAAAGTATGTAAACCAGAGCCTTACCCAGATCTAAACAGTGCGAGTGCGCTCGGATAAGTTTGAGCTTTGTTATTGTCTTTGATTCACCAAATACACGCGGTTTGGCAGTCACTTTTGACTGAAAGCTGAACACTTAAAGCCCAAGTTTAAGCTGTGATAAAAAGTCATGCTTTTGTCCCCCAGCCCCATTGGAGTATGAAATTATGGGGGTTTGTATGTCTGTGTTTTTCTTGGATATAGAATTCTTTGCAGGGACAGATGTCATTGAACTGAGTGAGCTAGGGAACCGCAGCACACTTCGTTTGAAGCTGCCTTTGTGAACCTCACGATGACTGCAGCCAGTGCAAAATATGGCAGTGTGATTTATACCCACAGTGGTGCCTGGATCCCATGAGTTGTGTTGATACGAATACTCCGTGAACAAGAGCTGGCTTCCTGGTGTATTGTGCTGTCAGACTTTAAATGTATTAAGTTAATATAAAGAACAGGGTTTTTTTCTTTTTTTTTTTTTTTTTTTCCCTTCGTATTGAAGTAGTGCAACCAAAGCTTAACTGTGAAGGTAGTTTTCAACTTTTTCATTCAAAGTCGTCTTGTCCATTGATCATGTTTGGCTGGAACAGTCCACAGCTGGGATCTGTGACTATTCATCTTCCATTCTTATTAGGGACAACCAGGTATGAGGAAGACATAACAGTGTGTCCCGGGGCACTGGGACAGCAGCCTACAGAAGTATACTATACTGGGCCTCTTAGGTTGGAGACAGGATTATATTTGACCTAAACAGGTCTCATATGACATATGTAGAGCTCAGTTGCTGACTTAGTGTGGAAGAACACATCCCAGACCAGTGGAAATAGTCCACTAGTCTAAAAATAAGTTTGAATAAGAGGAAAGTGGTAAGCTGTGAAGAAAAATAGGCTAAAGCTCAGTAATGTAGCTGGATGGACTACAGATGCTCAGATATTATGGTATGAAGAGAGTAGTAAGAACTAGTTTGGAAAATTTCTTCTCTATAGTTCTGCTTGTCTTCTGCCTCTGTGCAGGTGGAAGATGATCCATCCATACTTACAACAATGTCTGAGTAACAGAAAATATAGTCGTAGTATGTGTTCTCCTGTTCCTTTTGTTCTGGTGCCATGTTTTACAGATATTTTAATCCTATATGTACATACCCTGTATGATTCTTTTGCATGTTTGAGTAATATGTTGTCTTGTTGCCTTCTGTGCCAAAGTTAATGTAGTATCTCTGGGCAAGGCTCAGTATATACAGAGTACCTGTTTGAGTCCAACTTTCAGTGCAGACGGATTTGATAGACTGGATGTTCAGACCTTTAAAAGTCTGTGATCTTAGTTTGGAGACTTGTCTAAAAGTGTGCAAGTCATTCAAATTTAGCACAGTGACCATCAGCTTTAGAACTGTGATGGTTTGGTAGTTCATAGGAGAATGTTAACACTCTGCTTGTAGTTCTCAAGTGATACGTTCTATCAAAGGGTAACTTAAAAGAATTGATAGAGAAATCACTGAATTGTACCTTTTCTTGGCCCGTTTGTGCAGAAGATCAGGCTGAGATTATCAACTCTCTCTTCCTGTTCACATGAAAAGTCTTGAGGAATTAATTCTTCATTAAGATGGAAAATCACAATGGCCCTACAACTTCTTTTGGGGCTGTCCAAGGCTCACAACTGAACAACAAAGTAGTGATGAATTTCATGGGTCTAAGCACTAATTTTTTCTTTAAAGTGTTATTGAACAAAAGCGAGGCTGCCCATAGGTGAATTTACCAATACCATGAGTCTGAAACTCCTCACAATACTGTGTGAAACAAAACATTCTGTGTTTTGAAAACATTAACACATTTAATTTTTTGGACTGTTTCCAGATGCCATGTTACTGACTTGCTGTTACTGGCTTTGTGCTACTGGCTTGCCAGGTTTGGATTTGTTATGAACCTTTAATTCCTGGTTAGACAGTACTGTTTTAGAGGAAAGAGTCGTTTGGAAGGAGTTTTGAGTTAGATTGTTTGCATGTGATGCAGCAAAGTAAGAAATGGTTAAGAATAGAAGCCAGCTAGACTGCAGTGTTGCATTGACTTACCATTGTATCGCTAGGTCCATAGCTTCCTTGCAGCACAGGAGAAAAGAGGGCATTCTGTTGTCTTTTCATTTATTTGTAGTAAACGTAGATTCACTAGTTAGAACAAGAGTCTGTATTTAAAAATAAATAACACTTTTTGCTGAGAGCACACTGGATAAATTGCAGATGCTTTACCAAGGTTGGATGTGCAGTGGTATTTGGATTTGAGCACGCTGGGCAATGAAGTACTTCCTGCACAGTGGTAATTCATTTGTGTATTGAAAATGTAAAAATCTGTTAAGGATTAATACACCCGAGAAAGTAACCCAGTTTTCTAATTCAGATGATCAGCTGATGAAGCAACTGGCTGCTTCTGTTTAAGGCTCTACCTCTCTTCCCCCCCAGTTTGTGGTGGTTTTTTTCCGGTTGGTTGGTTGTTTATTACTGTATCCCTGACATCTCCAAGTTAGCCTGAGGAAGGAAGATGCACTCTTATGTCCAATGCACATCTTGCAGTAAATGAGGTTTTAGAAGCATAGGACTGGTTCATTTAATATTTAATGCTCTTTTCTTCAGCCATAAACTTATAAACTGTATGCAGTGAGAAGTGGACACTGATGCTTTTGTAAATAATGCATTATAATTAGACTTCAGCTTGCTTTAGAGCAGCCTGCAAGCAGCTCTGTACACATTTTGCTGTTCATTCTTCACTGTGCCTCTTCTCATCGTTCGAAGCTGGTGCCACAGGCTTTTATTGTGCTGATGTGTTGTTTTCCCTTTTTTATTTTTCCCCTGAATGTAACTGTCTCCTTCACCCAAGCCATTTGCAAATATCTACTAGGTCTTTTTTCAAAGGGAGAAGATGCAGAAGGAGAGTGAGGAGAATGTCTAGCGTAAAATAGGATGCAACAGGGGGTTCCTTACGGTCCTGATACTGACTGTGTGATCGCACCACAGGCCATAACTTTCAGTTGTCCAAATAACAGCTCCTGAGCTTGATTCCTAGAAACAGTTGAATCTGACTTGGCAGCTCTGTCGAGCTGTGTGTTCCTTGTTGTCTGGGCTGGCACAGGAGGCAGTGGGGTTTCGAGAAGATATGGGTGGAGAAGGGAGGAACAAGATGAGTGTGGTAAAATCCCTGAGTTTTTTAAGTTCGTACATAGCAGGGAGAGAGGAGAAACGGGCAGTAGCACTTCACAGACTTGGCTTCTCACAAGCACCTTTTTTATTTCCAAACCTTCCATGCTTCCCATTTCCCAGGAATACAGGATTCTCATCCCTGACCTGCTGTTTCTTTCTGCAGTGTGCTCTTGGACGTATGCTGGTGGGGCAGGGAAGCAAACACAGGAAACTTGTTTAGATGCAACAGTCACAGAATTCCGTGCTTAATCCTTTCGGCACCTCTGTCTTTCTCTATTGCTTATGAACAAAGACATGTCTGGGAGGAAAGAAGCTAATTTCCAGGCCCTTTTTTTTGGTAGGAAAACTGTGCTTAAAAACCAGCAAAATCTGGACAGTTCATGGTGCTGGTTATAAGACACAATAAAACTTGGGGTTGTTTTACACAGACTTTGTTCATTTCTCGTGAGATAAAGATGATTCAATTGTAAGTGCTGTCGTAGCCCGTTTTTACAGTCTTTGATGAATTTAACTTGGTGTTTCCTTAAACAGAGTAGAGAGAGAAAAAAAAGGTGTTTATACGTTACTTGTCAGTTTCGAAGTTTTGAAGTGCTTTTAGAAATAAACAGCATGTTCTTTTGCTGACAGGATTTGAAATCTAGCAATCAGCGAGATGAAATTGCTGCAGCACGTGCATCCCTGAAGGAAAATTCCTCTCTCCTACATTCAATATGTTCAGCTTGTTTGGAACATTCAGATGTTGCATCCCTTACAGCCAGCAAGGATTCAATTTGCAATGAAATACAGAACGCTCTCAATGTAATTTCTAATGCTTCCCAAGGAGTTGGAAATAAAATGGCACAACCTACATCTCACACAGCTACTCTTGGAAGTGCACTTGATGAGCTTGAGGTACGTAAACCTGTAAACCTGAGACAGCCACATTTTGGGAAAAATGGTTTGGTGTTTTTTTTAAATAATTAACGATTGCGATTATAAGTGACAGATCTAAAGACACTAGAAACTGATGCTCTGCTTAGTCCTAGTCTAAATAGTATCACTCTAAATTATTTCATTGGGAGGGATCATTTCCTTCCAAAGAGTTTGGAATTAAGCCTTCATGTATGTTCAATATTTGACTCCTTCGAACAGCAGGCAAGAATCAGTTCCGGGTATGTCACTAACGGTGGAGACAGACACATCCTGGAATAAGTGGGCAGAATCCATGAGTTTAGTTTACAGATAACAGTGATTATCAGATGATGGTGATCACTGCTACCTTGACTGCAGTTGAACTAGTACAATGCAAGTTGAAGTCCTTTACTCCAGCACTTGTCATTGGGATCATTATGTAATTTATATAATTGAAGCATTTAGAAACCTAATTACATTTTCTGCTTATCATTAAATAAAGTGACATAACCAATAGGTTTTCACAAATTCTGTGTTTCTACTTCTATTATTTAACCAAATACTTAGAGAAAGTAATTTTTTTCTCTACTCCTGACTGGATCCTAAGCTTTTATATGGAGCTTTCCCTTTTTCTTATGGCTGCTCTGGCTCTTACCAGTGTTATTTTCCATTGTCCTGCCAAAAATGGTGAAAGACCTCCCGTAGATGAGATTACAGACCATGCTCTTCATCTGGTGTAACTGATGTAGGTCCAGATCAACAAAAGGAATGAACGTTTCTAAACGCATTTGCAAATATGGGTCTTTTTGGTTGTAAATTCTCGGCCTTATCAGATCTCAGCTTCGGAACTCCAATGTTGTTGATACATTTTCAGGAAAACTGATGTTATGACTAATGGTAATAGATTTTGTCTAAAATTTTCAATGAAAAGTTAGAGAAATACATTGAAATCCATGTATGACAGAAATCTTGTAGTAGCAGTTTATTGATCAAAACAGATCCCTCAGTCATGCTCAAAGTTGAATCTGACAGGTTTTTTCCCCCCAAAGGAACAGGCTACAAATGCATGTTACATGTCATCCTTCCTTGCTCTCACACTGGATTTTAAAATTATAGTTTCTAATCTGTTTTCTTAATAAATGGAAGAAAAAAGAAACACTTAAGAGTAATACATGATTTGTTATAATGAAACTCTGAATGACAAATGTTATACTTCAAATGAGCACTGTTATTTACCCGTTTTACTTACAAAGGTTTTAAACAAAATTTGGCAGAAGGGCTGCATCTTCTGACTCTAGATGAATTCATCTTGACTGTATGTGAGCAGTACAATTTTAATGATTTTTTTAAAAAGAAAATGTAATTAAATGTATTATTGTTTTAAAATTTAAAAATTGTGATAATCACAAAATGGAAAAAAATCTCTTTTGGATTGAATTTGTTTTTATTTGGAAACATAAGAACGTAGAAGTCTGACTGTTGTAAAAAGCCATTTGTTTGTGGAGTTTTAAATATAGTTTAACCTTGGTAACACAAATGGGAATTGAAGCTGTGTGAGTTAGATAAAGCACAGTTTATAGAGCATTTAACTTCTTAAAATGAATTTATGAATTAGATGGTTGCACTTTTCTTTCTTTACAGAAAGTTCTATTGGCTAAGGACCTGAAATAACCTTTGCTCTGTCTTCCTGTTGCAAATACAGTGCTGTGAAATAGATTGGTGTAGTAAATAGTCTGTTGGGAACAAATCTCATTAAATGTTTATAGCGTGGAAATGTATCACAGAGCTTACCCAACAATCGCATATCTAGATGTTTTGCAGTGTCATTCTTCCTTTGCCAGTGCTGGCAATATGAAAAGTATTACAGATTTATAGGTGAGGAAACCACCAGCTAACCCTTAAATCAGTAGATTCACAAGAATTCTTCTTAAAGGCTCCGTATAACTATGTCATTCATAAATAAACACAAAATTGTAATGTTACAAATTTATTTGCATATTAAGATCTGTGTTAAAAGAGTGTGGGGGTGCAGGTTATCTAATGCCTTCCACTGGTCTTGCATCTTCTGAATGTAATAAGATTTCTCATAAAATTATACAGGTCTTGCATGCCTGACTCTCTGTCAGTGTATTCCTCTGATATGTGGTCCTTTAATGCCCATGGCTATCTAGCAGAGCAATTACATATGAGATGTCAAAATACTGTAAATCAGCCCAAAATGTCAGGAAATATAGCCAGGTTTCTGGATACCCATGATCCCTCTTTTTCACGGATCAGAAGACCAAGAAGGGAGAAAATAGTGATCTAATAATTCTGTTTTAAATGCTTGCTTATGTTCAGGAACTCAGGTAGCCAACCGCTGTTTAGCCATGTTAAAGCAAAACCGCAGAACTGCTTGTTGCATATCTGGTGTCTTCCTGGTTATTATTGCCTAGATTTTTTTGTTTGTTTGTTTTCAGCTGAACTGTAGTAGCTTTTTTGCCAGTGCTACTTGTCCATCTTTGCATGAACTTTCTACAGACTGTCTCCTAAAGGAAGACATTGCTACTCCTGTTCTGTCTGAGGTTTGAAGGCAGTCATCTTGCTGGCTAATTGGCTGTAGCCTCCAGGTGTGTCTTAGTCTTCCACAGTCCATGAAACTGTTTCTTTCTGTAGCAACACTTAAATATTCTACTCGGCAGGTGTCTTTTACATTTAGATGAACGTTGTATGTGTAGCATAGTGTTTAGGGTGCTTACTTGGGATATAGGAGCGCAACAGAGAAGTTGCTGCTCCAGTGAATGGTGACCAAGTGGCACAAGTCCAGCAGAGGTCAGGTACCACAGAACACTTTGGTATTAAGGACTGCACTGTGAATGAGGGAGAGAGTTTCAAATCTCTAACACAGATAAACCCGTCCTCCACATCAGAAATGAATGTCTTGACCTCTGGATTTTTAGTTTTGCTCTGTCTCTGGATCTAGTCAAAGTAATGAAGACCTAGATAATGCAGTCATTAAACACTTGCTATGCAGGAAAACACAGTTCCTACTGCTGAGAACTGTTTTTATTCTGCTTTTAAAGTTATGCGTTCTTACTTAGAGAGGTGACAGCTGAAAGGGCTTAATTTCCCCTGCATGTCAGAGTTCTCAGTGGCACTTCTTACCACTTATTTACAATTTCCTGTGCTGCATTTACCTAACTTCCCACAATGCATATTGCTTTGAGACATGCCGTAACTTACCTTGCCTCCAGGTAACTTGGATGCAGTTTTCTTTTGCATTCAGCCATAATATCACTATTGTAAAGAAGCTCAGCAAACAGAATAAATGAGGAAAAAATGGATGCCCTATACCGATACTCTTAGTGTGTTTCTAAGTTATCCTTGTGAACAAGTGGTATCTTACTGCCTTCACCATTCAAGAAAAGTTTCTTCAGGTACATTTCCTTCCTTCTGCGGAAATAGCTGTTACAGGAAAGGACACAGGAGTCTTAATGTTTTAATTGCAATAGGAAGGCTTCTGATGCCAACATTAAGAGCTGGATTATTGCTCCTATCAAGCCTGGCTCTAGGCATTGGCAATTAAGAACTTGCCTGCAAAAGCAAAACGACTTCCTGTGCTGTTGCCTGGGAGAGCCAGTCTGGCTCCATCCGCTGCCAGCAAGAGGTCAGGGTATATGGAGATATTTCAGAGTAGAAGAGCAAGCCATCTTCATTCTGTCCAAGCCCTCTTTCTTTTCTTTGGATTTTAGCCTTCATGGCAGGGTCTGCCAGGCCCTGTAAAATTTCAGCTTTTTTCCCTCTGTTTCTTGGAGAGGGAAAAGTCAGATTTTTTTTTTTGTAACTACGATGTAGTTCTTAACTGACTCCAACTTCTCTACTTCTGTAAAAGAAAATGAAAGCAGTGGAGTGCCTGTTTCCTTTGCTCTATCTTTACTGTTGGGAAAATTATGGTTCCATCACAGTTTGGCTTCGGTTCCAAAGTTACATGTGAGATTAATGTTTCCATGGTCAACATATTTTTTTACATCTTTTAATTAGGAAATAATGAATAGGTACAAATAGGGTTAGTATGTTGCTTTTATGGATATGCAAATAGGTGTGGTTTTCATCTTCAAAATATTTAAGCTCTTTCCCTCCTACTTGCATGTAAACTCCTTTTCAGTATATTATGTGTATCTGGTTAGGTGAACGTTGGTTTGAGAAAATCCGAGAGCTTGGAAAGACATAGTTAATACTTTAACTTAATCTAAGGTTGCATCTGCTGGATGCACATAAACACCTGACATAGACCCATAAACCATTTTAATGGTCTGTCCTGTCACTTGCTGAAACAAGTCCATAAAGCTAGTTTTAGACGTTTTATAGTCTCTCAGAATAGAGAACAGAAAATTGCACTAGCAGTAGCACTGGCCTGATTTTTTGGTGATACTCTGCAGTGGTATGAAAATCCCAAACTTTGACAAAGAAAATGTGGAAACAAATAGCAATTCACAAGTACCTTTTCTTTCTAGTCATTGTCTGTGGAAATTTGAGGACTAGAGTTCATGTAGTCTCCATTTCTGGTACAAAGCATCACATAATCCTAGAACTTTAGGCCCCAGAAGGTCTTTACAGAGGTTGTTTAGGAAGGTTCATTGTCCACTGATTTTTATGCATGTTAATAGGTAGTAAGTATGGCCGAGAGTGCTTAAATAACTAGAGTGCTTATAAATGAGATGGGGGACTTCAGGGCAATGGAACAGTAGTGGAGGTGGAATGTTTAGAAACCACTGATCCTGAAAGTTGGGAAATACAAGCTTCCATCTGAATGACACAGTAATGCAGAAAGAACCTGAGCTGGTTTCCTTTAGAAATATTCAGATTATGAAGTCTGATGTTTTTCTAGTTTTGCTGGAGAATCTCCCAGCTGTCTCAAAACAATTCTTGTGTATTTCAGAAAAGATGGGAGGATTGAACATGTAACAAAAAGTCTTCCTTTCCCTAAATCATATATAACGTGTGAAAGAATGTTAGTAATAACCAACAAGAAAATTTCAAGGTGACCGAAATCCCCTTTCCTAGCTGTTAAGCTTTTATCTTGTGATGTTCTAATCACTACTCTTAGACTTGCCTAAGCTAGACAGTACCTGAAATTGTGATATTAAATCTAAATTGAAAAAATAATTAAAATTCTCCAGCTTAAAAGTAGTCCGGCACATACTGGATAAGCACAGATAAGTTCTGATTTACCTGACCTAAATTCCACTTAAGGGTATATGGCATAGTTTTCTTGTTTAATATTTCTTCTGAAAGCTTGGAACCATATATGGATGTAACAGGTGAATGGATTTATGTGGAATACAGGCTTGGTGATGTGGACTGTAATTACACTGTTTTAGATGCTCAGTTAGATTAAAAACCGCTAGTTTGAATTTCTTTAGGTGCTCAAGCTTGAATATACTTATTTCATGCATACTTCATGAAAGAAAAGGAGAGGTGATATTTTCTCTTTAGAATATTTGCTTGACACACAAATGTAATTAATTTTATCGTGCCAAAACAGTTGTCTGCTTTTGTTTTCCCTAGTTAGTGAAAAGCAAGAGGACACATATCTATATCCTTTGAAAAAACAGTTGTTGAACAAAAGCTATTTTGATCTTTGCCCATATTCAGCCTGTTAAAGGTAGCAGCAGTGACTTTCTGCCACAGCGTGGGATTGCATTAGACTAAAAATAAGCAGAACTAGACTGCTCATGTAATCTGATTTAACATTCTCAGCTGTGAGCTAGCACTGCTGGTTTTGTGCTAAATCCCGAGGTCCTCCTGATCTCTAACAGGCTAAATCTTGGAGGTGTTGAACCCCTATATCAAAAAAAGCTGAGACTCTGGTCTGAGATACTTAGATAAAATATCGAATATTACTGAGTAGTAAGCTCGTACAGTGTCATAATTGTGCATAGACATTACGAGCTTAGTATAAGGTACATATTTTCTTTTCAAGAATTTACAAGGTAAATATACAAGACAGGCCCACTGTATGGTAGGATAAGGAAGACAGATGACCCTCAAGAAGTGTAGACAGACAGAGGACAGAGTTTGAAAGAAGAAATAAGTTTTTTACAACCATAGTGACAAAACTCAAAGAGGCAAAACAATGCTGGCTGAGAACTTGGGAAGACAGCATGCAGTTGCCTGTTTTAAGGCATACCTTCTGTATGGCTGTGAACCTGGCAGTCTGGGTCTCAGTTCTTTGCTTATAAAATGGAGTTGATAGTTTTTCATTGTAGAGTAGTGTGTGACAATTGACTTACTGCACACCGGGCCACGAATCCGCTTTTCGAACGACAGTAGGATGTTGTGAAGATTAGTAGACCAAGTAGGTACTGCAATGATAAGAATTGCAGGCGTATTTGTAAAGGTAGACAGTGTTTCTGTTTCCGGGAGAAATGAAATGCCCTGTAGAAGAAGAAATGCCGGTACAGGTGTAGGAAAGACTGAAGCTGAGGATGAAAATCTTGTGTCTCATGCAGCAAAAGTAGGAAACGGAGGAAGGACTCGGAGACAAGGCAGTTGTAGTCAGCAGATGTCAACATGGCCTGCAGGTAGATGTGATCTTGTTCTGCTTGTTCTGTGAGCTGCTTAGGTGTGAACCAGCTCCGGCTGGAAAGCTCTGTTGCTGTCTTAGCACTGGGTCCAGGCCAGTAGGATTTGATAACATAGATAGATATTGGCTTAGAACTAGTGAGAGCTGAGTGGCAGAGAGAACTTGGCTTTGTCTGCAAATGACCCGTATGCATAGCCCCAGTAAGGAAAACAGAATCTGCTGTGGTCAAAAGTATTCTGGATACTTCAAGGGGAAAGGGCTAGTTGCAAGCCTATGAAGCATAATGTCACTGCAGTTCATGCAAGTAAAAAATAAAGCAGCAACTTAATTGGACTGACTTTTCTTACCTGGACTCCTGATGTTTTCCAGAATTTAATTATCCTGGATCCTCTTGTAGTGAATGAAGAGAAAATAAGGCCATCACTAGAGAAACGTCTGGAAGCTATTATCAGTGGAGCGGCTTTGCTAGCTGATTCTTCCTGCACGCGCGATTTTCATCGAGAACGCATCATTGCTGAATGCAATGCTATCCGCCAAGCTCTCCAAGATCTGCTTTCTGAATACATAAACAATGTAGGTAACCAGACCTTTTTCCTTTTTTTAATGCCTGTCTCAAAGCCTATTTTACTGTATATTGGAATTTAACCTATAATTAGTGTGAATTAGTTTAGCCTATATTTCTCAACATGCTCTTTAAAAGATTGAAAGGAATATTTTTCTACATAAATCTAGTCAAAAGCTAAATACGGATGTCCAGAAATAGTAAGAATTGTATTATATCCTACAACCTGTGGAAAATGCTGTATTACAGATACAATGTATGCATGCTTAGGTTATTTTGTGCTTGTTGTAGACTGTCACTAGTACAGAACAGACCTAATCCTTCGTATGCTAGCAACAAGAGTTTCTTTGTCATTTCACTTCCTAGACCAGAGTTTTAAAATGTAATCTCTGTTGCTGTAGAATGGAACAATTTAAATAGTAATTTATTAGAATGTCAGTAATCTGTTAGTATCACTTTAAAGTAGAGTGTTCACACTGCTACATTTGATCTGTGTAACAGCATCGAGTTACAAGTGTAGAAATTACTTAATTGCTAAATCAAAAAGCTAGGACTGTTTGGTAAACCCAGAAATCTGGTTGTCTGGCAGGCTTATAGGCAAATACATCTGTGAATTTTTGAAAAGGAATATAGCTTGATTGTGTTTTAAAAATAACTATTAGATTTAAAGAATGGATTTGGCACTTCTTATGTCTGGCAGTTAAATGATAAAACACTGACAACTCGAATACTATTAATATGGGTACACAGTGTTAATATCATGCTTTTCCTCTGGAAACATTTTCTGTAGGCATACTGTTCTTATCTAAAGATACTTCAAGATGATTCATCAAGCATATTGAGAGGATAATTGTATGATACGGCTATTTGTTTCTTCATTTAGAAGCTGAAATTCGTTTCTGTTCTGTAAGTCATACTAGTTAACCAAAAGCTGTTCTAATGAGACTGTTTTCTTTGTCTTATCCTATTGTCATTAGGATAGTGGAGTGTAGGGACTAAGAAAATCTATCCACATCAGATGTCTTTTCATTTCACAGATCCTGTACTTGTTGATATTTTCTTTTTATTTATGGGAGGGGTAGGTGGGATTTGTAGCATATTTATTTCATTTTCTGTGAATTCAAGTTGCTCTTTCAGTCCCTGTACCAAACAAAGATGCTTTCATACTTTTACTCAAAATTTAGCTGCAGTTTCTGTTGAATGCAACATAATTCTTGAACCTCTCTGCTTTACACATGGGTTAGCTTTGTGAGATCTCTTTAGCTCTGGTTAGCTTGGAATGTTTGTCTTTGATACCTTCTTGTCACAGATGTCTCTTGCAATACCTGTTCTAGGGTGGATCAGGTTTGCTGTTAAATGGCTGGAAGTTTAATAAGGGAAGGCATCAACCTGAGCATGTGGGAGGATGCAGATGCAGATGTGGTGTGTAGCAACCCGTATTAGTCCAAAAGATCACTGTGGGTTTCTTGCAAGAAAGCTTTGGGGGAATTCTATGTCTTGCAGGAGTAAAACCACATGATTGTCAGTCAAATGGTCTTAAATTCTTGGACTGTTGAAACAGAATTGTGATTATCTTTTCTGTTTCAGAAATGATCATGGTTTTAGGGTTACATCATGCAGACTAAGGGGAAAAGAAGAATACATAACCCGCTTCGCTGACTTGAGAAAGTCAGGAGGCATCTATTTAAATATGGCAAGAAGGGAAAGTGGAGGAGGGAAGCAGAAAGGAAGAAATACAGAAGATGTAAAGGTATGAGTTGCTACACTAGGGTTAAATGACAGGAATTAATTTAAAGTTTTTAGTTTGTTTTACTGCTCCTGATCTGCTTATACAATTAATATTGATCTCAGAGGAAAAACTCTCACCGAGAATAGTTTATGGCTATTACTGAGACGGGATTAAGTAAGTTTTTCAATGAGTAGATTATCAGGTGTCCATTACTTTATTTCACAACTCTAAATCACCAAAGAATAGATGACATGTCCAGGAGACCGTGCTGATTTATCACTGTCTTCTGGGCTCTTCTATTAATAATTTCAATAAGCTAGGACTGTAAATTGAATGAGCTATAAAAATGATGCCAGCCATTTGTTAACATAGTACAATTTAAGGACTAGGTTGTGATTCCCTTCCTCTCCTCAGGAACAGTGTTGTACTCCAGAAGCAATCGCACTGTCTGTGTAATACTTCATGTGAGTCTGTATGTATGTCCTCATGGTGTGTTTGTGCCCTGTGCCCGGAGTGAGGCACAGGGCCTCTGTACCACAGCTTGTACAGGAGAGTGGAAAGTTTTCCTTGCTCGTTATCCATAAAGGGCATGCTTTTGCTCCTGTTTTCATCCTGATGGTATATAGTTTACAAAACAGCCTACCCACTGTCATTTCAGTTCTTTTCAATCACTCTCATGAGCTGTAGTAGTCAGCTGCTTGGAAGATTTTTTATGGATATGTGTCCATCATTTCTTGCCAGTATATTGCTTTGATTACTTTTCTTAAGGCTTCTTTCTATCTGAGTGTATCTCACGGGAACTGCATTGCTTCAGGGATACCACACACGAGTAAGTGCCACCTTCACAAATCCTTCTCTAGCAGCTGGTTTGCCAGGGAGCTGTGTGAGCTTCATGGACACTGGTAACATCCCACGTATCTCTAAAGCGCCTGGGTCTGGTGCTGATGGTGGATGTGGCCTGCCTGGTAAGTGTTTAGCTGTAACGGGATCATTGCCAACGACTTGAGTGTGTAAGTTCTGCATTGTTTTTTTGAAACAAGCCCTTAATGCCTAAACAAATGTACGGGAACTTATGATTTAGCCCTAACTATTTGAAACAGTGTACGGAATATAGCTTTTGTGGTTCCTAAATTTGTTGTTTGTTTATTGGGGTTTTTTGGGTTTTTTTCCCCTCAATTATTTCAAGTCTCTAATAAGCCTTAAGGACAACAAGTGAAATTGAAGGCCTATTGGTGTCAGTGATAAAATTTAGAGTTTTGACTGCAAGCTGGGAGAAATGTCTTTTCAGCAGATACTGCCTTTTACATAAGTGGCTGTTTTTCACAGAGGCTGTGGAAAGTTAAGCAAAATGTTCTCTATGCTAATAAAGACCCATTCTGTCTCCAAGAAGCTTGAAGATTTTCTGTTCACAAAGTAGTTCAGACGTGTAGTAAATTGCAAATATATTTATAATTCTGAAAGGCAGCAATTATTCTTCTGGTATTTTGGAATTATTTGTGTACTATTGTACTCTGAATTTTACTCATAGGCATATATTGTTAAGGGATATATTTGCATTTCAGGACATCAAATAACAGGAATTACTACTGTGAATTTGGATAGTTTATCAATGACAGAATCATACTATGCCGTGTGGATAATAATGTATCCATAGGAGCAATCATTTTGTTCTAGTAATAAGCACTTGCATTTTCCTAATGACAAGCTCTTGTCTCTGCTCATCCTTTAAAATGAAAAGTTACTGAGTACATTGGAGTGCAGCAATGCTAACTCCATGTTTCTTGAATTCTCTGCCTGCTTTTACTCCCAGTCACAATAGGGATGTGCACTTACCTGGGTGATCAAAAGGGATAATAGAGTTGTGATTGAGTGTGGGTTAAAGTGGTTGTTGTGAGCAGCAATTAGGATGATTGCAGGCACTGCTTTCTCTGCCTTCATTAAATAAGGAGGGTATGTCTGAATAATTATTCTGCACCCACCTGTGGGTTTGATAAAGATCACTGTCTGGATTGTTCAGACAAGGCTGAAAAAAGGTTGGTAAAGAAAGGTCAGATATACTGATGGTATGGTAGCTGCTTTCTTGAATTAGTTTCCTTAGTTTTGGTATGTTGTTTCATGATACTTGAGCTTTATTAGTTTCTCAGCTTATTCTGGATATTGGTTATACACATACATACGGAGTTTTGCATGCTGGGCCGCTATTCTTTATGCCTTTTCTGTTAGGTTGTGATTTCATTCTTTCTTGTTGTGTATTTCAAAAACTTCTGTTTCTATTTGGGTTTTTATGTTAAAATTACCTATGGTTTTGGGTCAAAAAACGTCAGTAAAATAGTTTGCATTTTCATTGTCATTTTCAAAGGAAAATCTGAAATGTTGAGATCTGAAAATATATTTATAAAAACAATGTTATTTTGTTCTTTTAAAATACATTAGCCAACTTCATACAGATTTGAAAGATGTGTCAGTGCCACAGAATAATTTCTCTTGTTAAAAATATTTCACAGCATATTTCACACACAATTCGCAGAAATGTGTGACTGTGCAAACTAGCAGCAACTCAGTAATTTAGTCTGCAGTTCTGGACGTCCCTGTGCTTGTTGTGCCTCAGGTGGTGGCGGCTGCTGCTGCTTGCTGTACCACAGCCACACCATTTGTGTGACACTGCTACACTGAGTGTGCCATGGAGCAAAGCCAAGTCAGCCCTTCTTGCACCAGCGGTGGTTTCAGTCTCTTAATGAAACATTTAAGAAAATGGGAGGAGACTAAGGATCCATTTTACCTGGAGGTCAGATCAGGAAGTGGACTGAAGCTGACCACATTGTGCATATTTATATTGCATATCTGGGGTACTGATAATCAAGCCCTGACCATCCATGTAGCCTAAGGGCAGGCCAAGCTGAGGCTGACTATAAATCTCATCTGCTTTGTGGCAGACAGCATAGGACCACTCCAGGAATGATGCTGGAAGGGAGATGAAGTAGTTGGTGGCAGACAGTGAAGCACCTGTATTGCATATAGGGCATACTTTGATCTCACTGGGAATGCAGCTGCTGGAGCTTCATCTCCTTGGGTTCCCTGAAGTTTCTCTGAAGCCTGTTGCTTCTCCACAGGTTTGTGTCTACAACTTCTGCATATGAGACACATCTGGATTTGAGGCATATTTGGATCTGAGCACATGAACTGAAATGCTGTGAGGATGAGACTTGGTGCTAGGATCCCTGAAAGTAGGGGACACCTGAGACAGAGAGTGAGCTGGACTGTGCTGAGCCCTCTAAGGGAAAG